CCTTGGAGGATTTGGCCTTACTAAATGTTTAGTTAAAAATCCAATTCCCATTTCTCCTTAAAATTTGAATAACGTAAATCCACAGCAACTACATTGCCCTGAGTGAAATACTAAGTTTTTGGTGAATTTTGTTTCTGCTTTCTTCCTTTAAAAAAAAAAATCCTAAATTTTTTAATCTGAACTTTGCAACTGTTGCTTTGGTCTCTACATCAATGAACTTTCTGACAGCATTCCTTGTAAAGGCTAAAGCCTTTCCTGGCAAGTGATTAACAACTGGGACAAGCCCTTCCATGAGACATGAGTTTTGCAGCCTGTTGTGTGGTCTTTTTGGCTGGGTCTGTAACACATTTCCGATTGTCTAAATATGAAGAGATAAAAAGGAAAGGGACTGCCAAATTCCACTGTATAACGTAAAGCGAGTCAGAGGGAAAAGGTTTATAATTTTTCTTCTTCCTTTTATATTGCTGGCTACATCTTATCTTCAGCCAGAAGATCCTAACATCATTTCCTCTCTATAAATGGTCTCGCACGTGATACTAAAACACAATACAACTCTTTTTCCTAACTTAATAAAAGTTTTGATACTCAATGCTATGAAATTCAAGAATCCTGATTTGATTGCAGAACTGTTAAAGCATCACTTTACTGAGCCAGTGGGTGCGTATATTGCCTCAATGAGGCATCTTTTTTAACTGCACAGTAATATTTAGGGTGGAAATTGGAAATCAATCGCAACAACCTGTGTTTGCAAAGTGATGATACCATGGCGCTTTTTTTCTGAGCTAGCACCAGCATACTTCTACCTCTTTTATTGTTCCTATGACATCTAACCCTGTTTGAACTAATAGTGTGATTGCCCCGTGGATTTTAGCAGAATTGCATCTCTGTTGAAACTGATTCAGAAAGCAGTTGTGTCCATCTTTGCTACTGAGCAAAAGCCCAGTAAATCCCAGAAACAGCCTTAAAAGCCTTCATGAATATTTTAACAATGATTCAAATGAATAGTGATTCACCTACTTGTGAATGAAATATGAAACTGTTTCTATTGCTCCCATTGCTGTTCTATTGCTGCCATTGCTAAACCATCTGGGTACATCTTGTGAAATAAAATGATGGCAGTGACTGGCAAAAACTCCCGTGCCTTCACAAAGGGAAAAAAGAAAGTCGATGAATTTCTTTTCTCTTTTCTCCTGTTAAGCAACCTCCCAGTTTTGAGATTTACAGTTATTTTATTTGCGGTGTAGCTGTCTACTATTTAAATAATTGAAACACATGCCCTGCAAACACATTTTATAATTCACTCACGAAGATACGAGGATCTCCCACTTTGATAATCATTATAGTTAATCACAAATTAAAACCTTCTGAATAGCTCTGGTATTTTGAAAGTTGTGAAACCGTTGTTCTTGGTCTTGGTTGAAACCCTTCCCGTTGCGATACCCGACACTCAGTGTGTCATCAGCAGCATGCATGAGCTGCTACAGTCAGGTCAGGCCCACAGCAGGTCATGAAGGGGATCGTTTAACAGGTAGGTCATCACATTGGAGGCCACGTAATGAAATACACCATGCTTCGCGTGGGTCTTGGCAGCAAGTATCCCTGGAACAGACCTTTCGGAGACTTTTTGATGCCATGGTAGATAGTTAGAGTTTATCTTAGTGTAAGCATGTCAGGCTCTGGACTGTCCTTGTGTCTGGGGGTGACAGTCTATTACGTGTCTTGGAGAGCCTTTGACTGGTTAAAGACTTTGTTTTCCCAGGGGCAGTGCAGCTGCTGGATGATTCCCTGCTTCTGTCAAGAAGCGCTATTAAAGCAGTATTAAAAAGCCCCATCATAGGGTGCGTGCAAAGGTCGTGTGGGTCACAGGTAGCTAGTAAGTCCTCAGTGTAGACATCGTGTGGTTTAAACTAGGACTGCAGTAATTTGGTTTTGTACTTGCCCAAGGTGTCCAAAGCAGCATGCAGGCGTAAAAGTGCCCACAGGGGTCTCAAATACCCTTTTCTATTGAGCAGGAAACAGCGTGGTGTAAATGCAGTTTTTCTCAAAGCTAGTGGCTGTGCTGACTACCAGCAGAAAGCTGCCGTGGTATGTACCTTCAACTGCAGACGCCTCCACTTCCCAGGGCTGACTGACTTGTTTGTGAGGAGCTGGATAAGCCCTGAAAATTTTCAGATTGAGGAACTGAATTTACAGTGTCCTTCTACTAGCTAAATGACAAGCAAAACACAGCTTTTCTAATCACCCCTTTTCTCCGGGACTGCTTCTGGATGCTGTTTCTTCTTTACGCTGTCATCTGTTAGCTGGTTAAGCACAGGACGTTGACACTTGCAGACAGCACCCAAATAATCAGCCGTCTTGAGCCTTGGTCGGGTGCAGCTGCAGTGGGCTGCCCCGAGGCTTTACAAGGTTTGCAGCGTGGCAGGTGGAAGGTGCGAGGGGACTAGCTGCGCGTTACCGCAGCTGCCATTAGAGCTGCAGCAGTTAGAGCAAAGCCATTGCAGAAGATCCTTCTTACTTTCTGGAAGAAAAAGAGATTTGCAGAAAATAAACATTATGCCGGTGTGTCTCCCACTGATTGCGGTCAAGTGGAAATATGTGGCAACTTTGCCATTGAGTGAGTACTTAACATGTAAATGCGTCCCCTTGTCACCATGTTCCCAAGACTTGAGGTTTTAAGGAAAAAGCAATACCAATATTTCCTTTCTAGGAAAAAGATCCTGATCAAATGAGTAGGTAGTACACAGGTGGATATCTGGGAAGTATGTTAATGCTAGAATTGTTTACAGTAATCTGGTAATTCCTGTTTTATGAAGTAACTTTACAAAACAAGTGGAAACATGTTAAAATTCTTACAATGTGTTTATTAAAAAATTGAACCTGATTGCTAAGGGAAGCATCATTGCAGAGCAGAAACTATGGTATTGGCCTGCCAGGCAATTACACAGATATCCAGTGGAATCGTGAGGAAGTGGTTTTTTTTGGTGTATCAGCGGAAACGATTATGCTGTGTGTCATCAGGTTTCAATTTCCTTTAATTTGTCTACCCCATGTATCTATGAAGTGTCACTGCAGCACTACGACTGCAAATTAGGCTAACCAAGGCATCTTAAGGGACCTGGTCAGGTTTGTCACTGGGATTTCCAGGCTGTCAGCCTGAAAAATAACTGATTCGATGATACATCAAGTCTGAAAGAGCCTAGCTTCAACAATAGAAGATTTTACGTTGCTAGGTAGTATCACTGCAGTGCATTACATTCAATTCCGCGTGAGTGGGTAAAACCCAAGCAGCTAGGGAAATCCCTGGGTCGCTGTTCACACTAAACTCGGTGTTTGTAGCAGTCAGCTACAACCTGCATTTTAGCTCGTTCTCCGAACGTGAGCTCTGGAATGTCTCTGTGAGTGGCAGCGTGAACACAGTAGCTTGAGTTTACGCCCGGTGCACTTGCAGTCTTTTTTAAAATACAGACACATTTACTGTCTTTGAGTGCATCTGTGAAATGATTAATAGTGATTCTTTGCCTCTTAGGAGCGTTGTGTTGCAAGGACTTGAAAAAATGAGGGAACGGGAATGAGCTAATACTGACAGAAACTATACATATAGATATAGATGTATCCCTGAAACAGTTTAGCGATACAGTACAATGATTTTATTTTTCTCTTTTCCTTTCCCCCGGGGTGAGACATTTCAATGATCAGGCAGTTATGTTTCCGAGTGCTTACCAACTTAATGTAATGAGACAAAGACAGGGATTTTCTGGAACGTGGCTTATCTCTACATGAGTGCATCCTAAAGTAGATTTTAAAATCTGTCAATGGCGAAGGAGAGAGTAATGACCACATTACTACAGCTGTCTCATTGAAAATCTGATATGCTGTTGAATAGATTTGTTGTTGCAGAGGAAGGCAGCAGAAAAATTCAGTAAATTTAGAAATACCTGTTTTTCTGGAGCTTGATTCAATATCGGTAAATGGGAAATTGTGTTTCTGGGACCAGCAGTGTATCACCTTCTATTTGGCTTTAAATCCATGATTTAGATTGAGGATATAACAGATTTGACCCAGAATCAATTCTCCTAGTAAAAGTCCTCTCAGCTGGGCATGTAGAGCCCTGCCTATTAAAAAGTCATCCCCTTTCACATCTCCTTTTATTAAAAACTCCAAATATTCCTTTAAGTAAAGAGATTTTTTTTTTTCCACATATCTGATCATGCCAAGCCAGTCCCTGAAAATTCTTACTCAGCGCTTTGAAAATTATCTAATAGTCAAATGGGCCTCTCTGGAAATGAGAGAGATGTGATGAAACTGTTTAGCTCTTGATTTCCAGTAGGTCTGTTATATCCATGTTGAGTCTTTGCTGAATTCACGCCCCTGGGGATGCTCAGAAATTAGTTAGAAAACTTACAGTCAGAAAGCTCAGTTCCAGTAAATCACACATTTTGTGGCAGGGTGGGATAGTTGGGAATTCAACACATTTTCTCTCAAGTAGTGTAAATAGTGAATGTCAAAGTATTTAACTATTTAAGCATTAAATATTGACATTATAAGAAAAGAAAAAAAGCATAAGGAGAAAATCATTGCATCGTGCAGCAATTTGACCCCTTTAAAAGCTCACAGTGAAAGCGGGAAACAAGTGTTGTGTTGCGAAATAAAGGAATATATGTGTTCTTAGTACAGTAGATTCTGTGTACGTCAAGCTTTGGACAGCAATGTTAGGGATATGCATAGGTGCACGCGTAGGTGGAATGTTCAACCTTTTATTGCACGTGGCAGCATTAAGCTTTCGTTTGGATTCAGTGACTATTGAGACTTCCCTAGGAGAGCACTGTCCAGTGAATGAAGTTTCCAACCAGCTGTCTACCTTTCATTTTTTCGGTCCTGGCACAGCTTAATCTCTTCCATTTGTGTGTTACTACCAGATCTGGATTGCTGCGCTTGCGTCTTGCCCAGTGTCATGTAGCACATCT